CTAGTAGCTCCTGGCCATACTACTAGGAACAAGAAGCTACTAGGAACCAATCGAGAGCTCTGGGGCTTTTCCTGACCGGTCCTCACCGTCACCTGACAAGGCGAAGCCCGAGCCGACGGAGCCCGTCGAGGGAGAGGTGGCAAACAAGAGAGGTCATGTTGAACATGAGCGGAAGTGAGTCTGAGTGAGAAGAACATGAGAAAGAATGGGATATGATAGATGAAGCGCGGAGTTTCTTCTTGTTTGCCAGGTGACCTGAGAAATGTTTGGATTTTGACCCAGCTTCTACTTCAAACTTGCGCTTTCTCTGAAGGTAGCCAGTAGAATCATAGAGAGATGGGTCAAGCCACGAGGTGCAAGTCAAGCCTGCCACGACGAGCGAAGAGAAGAAGGAAGACGTTGAAGCTGCAAAGCCAGAGGATGAAAAGAAGGATGAGGGCCAAGCCCCATCCAAGGTTGTTGCGGATGCTCAGGAACCTGCGGAAGTTGTGGAAGAGGCCAAGGTTACAGAGACCAAGGCCAGGATGGCCGGCTCGGTGGGGTAGCCAGGGACCCCTTGAAGGTGAAGATGCAAAAGCTTCTCTCACAGGGCACGACTCTGGGAAATGAGATAGGAGTTGTGAAAGTATGGTGGGAAAAAGTAATCCTATGTCATTATGCAATAGCCTATGCGCCACAACTCCTATCTCATCAGGTCAAAACATGCAAAATTGACCCTGGCACACACAATTATGTTCACACATAAATGTTTGAGATTGCATGGTTTGAGGAGGTTTTGACATTAAACCACACATGACCTAGGAGTATTGCACCAACATAGCGTGTGGCAACTAGGAAATGAGATAGGAAAGTGTTGGTGCAAATTCCAGGGTGCCTACTTCCTATGTCATCTTGACCAAAGTTCGACAGACGCACGCACCACTTCAGAATTTAGATTTTTATCGACGGCCCCATGGCCTCATGGCAAAAAGTCCTAAATCTATTTGAGAAGAGGAACTTGGGTGGCAAGAAGCCACATGACACAGGTCAGGCGGTGGGAAACACTTAGGGAACGCGCCTAGGCCATGAAGCTTAAAGCAGTCATATTTTCCCTAATTATGGGAACGGTCTTTATACATATTTTTTGATTGAAGTCGCGTGCTGGCAGAGCGTCCACAACTCATGTCATCCTCCTGTGTACTACACTTGGCGACCTTGACGTTGTGGCCCCCAACTCCTATCTCATTAGCCCAGCAAATTCCTATGTCATCAGCCCTGAGTATATATATATATATATGTATATATATATATATTATATATTGCCCTAAACAGCGTGGCTCTACGGAGTGCCTGATTGAAGTGATTTCCTTTATTACTTTAAGGTCTGTCAGGACTCCAAAGTATTTTGCAGTTGACTAGGATCATTCTGATTTTCTCATGTTGGTTCTACTGCGGTGCATCAAGATAATTTGGGAACAGAACCAGTGAGCAGGGTCTGTTTCTCAATGGGAACTTGGTTCGCGGGTGAACACGTTCGTGGCACATTTGGGTATTTCACGCTCTCGAAAGGAAACCGCCAGTGGGCAGTTGATGTCAGGTCTCATCCAGCAGCGCACTGGCCTGGGACCTTTGTTAGTCGTCAATACATCGGCCTTGAGTAATCAGTGATCAGTGACCGGCCGTGAGAAAACATGAAGAAAGGTGGGCTCGAAGCCTCTTGCATATTTGAGCACAAGATCCATCAAGATCTGTCGTAAGCCACAAAAGAGGTGGGATGCTACAATTGACTTTGACCATTCTAGCACCATTTTGGCAAGTTTTTGAGGCGTATCAGGGAATATCAACATTTTTACAACACATTCCGATGGAACACTATGCAGAGAATAGTTTTCAATGGGCACCCCATCACTGCAAAAGCAAATTGCAACGTTGAACACATCCTAGGATTTTGTTTGACTCTTCCTTATGCCCCGCTGTAGCATTTTATGGGTTGCGGTCTGTTCCCAGGCTGCACCGCTGATGCTGGGAAATGGCTGAGGCCAGGTCTTCACCGGTGTGACCAAGCGCTCCATGGAATCCTGAAAAAACACGCGTGAGAAGTCTCATTTTTCCGATGCCGCGCATATGTTTGTGTTAAATGTTTTGTGGAACTACTCTTGGTTTTCTTCACCAGAAGCAAAGCATAGCAACGCCTTTGCCTGAGGCAGATCTCTGCATGAGCCTGCATTTGCCACACATGGCAGCTAATGCCCAAGACTACCAGGAGAAAGTAGAGATGTTCATTCTGGCAATCACCGTGTGTTGAGATCAGCCAAGTCGAAGATGTTCCCGAGTTGGTCAGCACTTGTCACTTTGTCATTCTTGTATCTTGGCGCGCCTTTTGCCGAAAGCAAAGAACGTTGTTTTCAGCGTCGTGCCTGCTCAGAGAACCGAAGGTTTCTGCTGCAAGGTTTTAACAGTTGTCCAACATCCAACGTTCCGGACGTTTGCTCATACAGCAAGCAGGTTACCTCTGTTCCACGAGGAAATGAATGAGGGAAACGCAAGGTGGCAGAGTCTGCGGTCAACAGAATGTTTAACAAATGTTGCAAAAGCGCTCAACGACAGCGGCGATCACAGCTGCAATGCGGAGGGAAACACATGTTTTGGGGGCTATCATGCGAAAAACCATGGACCAAAAAGACAGCGACAGGGTGGACCATTGGAGTCAGTGCGTTGGTCAGCAGGTACAGGAGAGTGATCAGCTCTCACTTCCATCGATACACCATAGCTTCGTTGCGTCAGGTAGGTGTATCGAGCCTGACGCCCCTGCATTCAAGGTTGAAAACCAAACACCTCATTGTAAAGACCTGGGCGACCTAAAACCTGTGTTGAAAATGTATGTAGAAGTGCACGTACACACTAAGGCCGGGACCAATGTGCGCGCAAACGAAGAAAGGGATGAGATGACCAGACATGAAGGCAGGAGGACATGAAAGAAAAGAGGAAGCCAAGGTGTGTAAAAGGGGAAAAGGATGAAAAGGGGAACCAAATGGAGGGGACGAGAACCGATGAAGACGAACCTCATTAGAAACACCTAGGAAGACCTCGCCTTGTTTGCATGTAAACGCTGTGTGTGCACCTAAGAGTGGTACAGGTTCCAATGAACCTTGAACAAGCTTTGGTCGCTGCGACCACGTACGTCTTGCCCGAGGGCTGCCACCTTTGACCGCTGCGGTCACGTAAAGGCATGAGCCAACTTGGAATTCCAAACGTAAGACATAAGTCGGAGTTCTCTCGGCCTAGGCCACCTACGCCCGCTCTGGGCACGTACATCTCCGGGCAGGGGAGATAACGACAAACCCCCGTTCAACGGGTCCACAGGGGGCACTCTTCGGGCTCACCCTGGGCTCTCACGAGGAGAGAAACACTTATAGAAATGCATACGGATGCGAATGCGGTACCACACGCCAGCCTAAGAACCAAATCCTGAAAGGTTCAGGAAAGTCCCAAAAAGGCCTGGGGGTCTTCAAAAGGAAGTGGGGCCAAACGCGCAAGTCGAGGTCGAAACGACAGGGTGACGGCGTAGCGTGCAAGTCTGCCGAAAAAACCTCTAAAGCTTGATGCAGGTACGCTGGGATGATCAGTCCCAGTATCACCAAGGCTTAGAGTGTCTTCGTTGGCGGTAGACTCTCTGCCTTGCTACCACCCCCTGCTCAAAAAGGAAAACGAAGTCAAAAGTACAATCCAAACGGATCCCTGTGACTACAAGGGGCACACACACACTACACTGACTGCCTTTCCGCAACATCGTTCAGTATGAGTGTACATATATAGGCGATCTATAGTGTGTGACCTTTTTGCCTGTCAACATGCATTGCTACGTTGGCCATTGGAGACAACTGTGACGCGGTAGGTGCAGGACTGTTGCAGAGATCTAATGGCAAATGCTGTAAAAAACCGGAGCCGGTCTTTGGTGAGGGTGGTCGGCCTCCTTGAAGAAGCAAGTTCTTTCAGCACTTGAAGGGAAGTGCTTCTGCTGAGGGACAATTTTTGATGACAGGTGTCCCCATGAACGAGACTCAGTCTTCTCTCTTGGAACACGTGTAACTACCATGAGGCCTTGGCCTGAAGGGGTGATCGGGCAGCTAAGGTGGCCCAGGCATCACTTGGGGTTGAATGGTGCTGGCTGGACCACACTTTTTTCAAGCCAAAGTCCAGAGCCACTTTCCATGGCCCAAGCAGGGGAGGGGTGGCGAAGATGGAGGCCGGGCTCTCAGCACTCCCACAGGGTTGCTGACAAACAACCTTTTCTTAAAGTAAAGGCCGGTTTTGGAAAAAAAGATCCGAATTCATCACCAGGAAATTCTAGCACGTTCTGATGTGGACTTCTGCACATGCATGGAAAGAAGGTGCTCCGCATGCCGCATGCCCCTTTTTGCTGGACACTCTTTTGTTGAATTGTTCTTGTTACTAGTAGCTTTGAGATTTGTCCCGGATCGCTTTGATCGTTCTCAGGAGGAGCGCCTGACCAAGTCAGGCCCTGAACTCTTTCGAGAGCTCAAGCGGGTCTACTCTGTGGCCGAGGCGCTGGAAATGTGCGCCGTCAATATCGAGCGCCAACAGCCATCGATGGGGGTGTAGTTGATCTCAGCCATAGATGGCGGTTTGAGGGACTGGAGTCCCCTCGTGTTGACCAACCCAAAGCAGTCTGCCATTTGCCACCAAGAAGCGCCTTTAGGTTGAAGACTACTTCAAGAATGGAGCCAGGGACCTAGCCAAGTGTCTCATCCCAGATGGTAGGGAGCAATGAAGGGAGTGAGTCACGACCACAGCATCCACTAACACGACCACAGATGGCATTTAGATGCATTTAGGCCCGAGGAAAGACGATGAAAGAAGACCCTTGGGTTCTTCCCAGGCGCCAGGTCCCACTAGGTCCCACTCTGGCCCGCTGACCCATTCGAGACGATCAGCGGCCCAAGGTCTGGCGAGACGATCTGATGCGCACCGACATGCAGCTGATCGAGTTGCACCGTCGAGAGGCAGCGGGCTTTTTTCCCACGCACGACCGATTGGGGCGGTATGGGGCGGTTTCTCATGGCATGTCGGGCGCGCTTTGTGTCGGCGGAAGAAGAACTCCCAAATACTTTCTTTTGTTAGTAGTAGCTTCTGGTTTCTGGTAGTAATGCCCTTGTTACAGCAACAAGTTGTTACTAGTAGCGATGCACTTGTTACTAGTATAGCTTCTTGTTTCTAATGCATTTGGGAGTTCTTCTTCCAGAAGCAAGCTCATGGGGAAAACAGGTTTGACACTCATCGGCGGAAGAGGCTGAATACAAGAGTTAAATAGTATTAACTTGTTGTGTCCACCAGAGGTGGCTTTATTCTAGAACTCAACAAACTTGAAAAACAATCAAAAAAGAAAAAACACAAAGAAAGCAAAAACACAACCAAAAGTGCAACCAAAAAGGCACAAGCAAAACAAAGAGCAACCAAAAAAGCACAACGAAAGCGCAAATGCAACCAAAAAAGCACAAGCAAAACACAGAGGGTAGATTGGAGGGGCCGGGCAGGGTTAGTACTGGACAAGGGTCTTTTCTGCTGCCGGGTCAAGTGTCGCACTTTTGGTCGCCTTTTTTCTGGTGCCGGGTCAAATGCGGACTTTCGGTTGCCTTTATTTTATTTTTTCCGGCGCCGGGTCAGAAGTCCCACTTTCGGTCGCTCTTTTTTTTCACGTTTTTTTTTTTTTTTTTAAATTTTCCGGCGCCGGGTAAAAAGGCGCACTTTTGGTCGCTTTCTTTTTCGTTTCTTTTTTCCGCTTATTTTTGCACTTTGCAAAAAACAAGCGAAAAAAGAGCAAAAAAACAAACAACGAAACAAACACGACCAAAAGTGCGACTTTTTACCCGGCGCCGAAAAAAAAGTAATAAAAGCGACCAAAAGTGCACCAGAAAGTGGACCCTCCCTCAAAAGCGCGCCAGAATGCGCGCCAGAATGCGCGCCAGAACGTGGACACTTCCAAAAAGTGCGCCAGAAAGCCCGGCTGAGTTGTTTCATTTTTGCTTGCAATTTTGTTTGTTTTTTTGCTTTTATGATTGCTTGTGTTTTTCTGGCTGCAATTTGTGATTGCTTTTTTGTTTTTTGCTATTTTTTTCCTTTTGTGATTGCTTTTGTTTTTCTGGTTGCATTTTGTGATTGTTTTTTTTTTTGTGTGTGTTGTTTTTGCTTAGTTTTTTTCAAGATGATAAACTTCTAGAATAAAGGGGTCTGGCAGACACAATGTTAATGCTTTAGCTTTTACACCTGTTCAACCTGTAACTCTAGAAGCATTATCTCTGGAGTCAATTCTGTCAACTTTGCCACTTGTGTCTCCTTGTTGCCTTCTTTTTGTCCATCTGAGTCTATCTCTTTCTTTTCCTTTGTTTTCTTTTCATTTTTAGCTGTATTGAATTCTAGGCAAGTGACAAAGGATTAGGAAGATAAGAAGGTGGGACAAACTAGCCACCAAAAAAGACTCTTGAGTTAATTATTTTTTCACTGTGTCTCCTTCCGTCCTTCTGTTTGTCTGTATATTTCTTTTCTTGTTTTTTCTTCACCTTTAGCTGTATTGAATTCTAGGCAGGTGACCGAGGATTAGGCAGATAAGAAGGTGGGACAAACTAGCCACCAAAAAGGAATTGACTCTGGAGTTAATTCTTTTTCACTGTGTCCCTTTAGCTGTATTGAATTCTAGGCAGGTGACAGAGGATTAGGAAGATAAGAAGGTGGGACACACTAGCCACCGAAAAGGAATTAACTCTGGACTTAATTCCTTTTCAAGGAATTAACACCAGAGTTAAGACATTTTAACTCTGGTTCACTCCATTTCTCAGCGCTGCACGATGTCACATGCTTTGACGGTTGCCGAAATAATCCAAAACACAACAAAGAATATGTGCTCAAGACGCCACACTTACACCTGATGCTGAAGCAGGTTCCCACCTCGCCAGTATTTGTAAGAGGTCAATCTTCTCTGTAGAACCTCGTGAATGCAATAAGCTGTGAATTGGGAGGCTGGTGCCCCCGAGCCGCCTGACTTATCCAAGGCCCGGTCACGACAGATGGTGAGAGTTTTTGGCTGCTGACATGAGGGACACTCTGTGAAGATCTTGAAAGAATGTTTCCACGACTGACACCACGCCATGTTGCATCATTCAAAACCATAGTGACATACCTGTCTTGAAGATAAGATACCAGTTTCTTTTTTGACGCTTTTGCATACGCACCCAATAGAAGCTGTATCCTGTATCCATCCATAGCATGGGTGCGGGTCTTTTGTTGCATTTTGTGGCTAGATAGTTCAGGTGGAGGTGCCACATCTTCCACAGGGAGTTGGGGAGCCAAGTGCATGCTTCCCGACATTTCCTGCGGATGTTCCTCATTCACCTGGACGTTCCATGTGAATGAGGGACATCCTCCTTTTCCTTTGCCCAAAAGGCGTGCGCATTGCGATCACCGTCGTTTAGCATTTGAGGCTGTTGCCAGCCCTCTAGCCGTGCCGAGCTTGGCTTTGGTTCCCCATGCGGTTTGAACAAACCACCCAACCGCATCGGTTTTGCGCGTTTGCTTTTGCGATGGTGACCTAGAAATGGAGTTGTATTGCCCAAGGAGGTGGTCACTGTATGACACGGTCAATCTTTACACATCTTTTCATTAACGAAAAATACAAAGCACTTCCATAATATCATAGAATGTGAACGAGCCCCCCAGTTCCTCCATGACAATGAAGGCCCTGGGTCCGAGGATTTCAATATCACTCCTCTGATTTGTCGGATAGGTTTGGAATGGCCTTTACCTATACTTGACCCCAAATTGGACGGCTTGCAAGGCATCCATGGCAGCTGCTGGTGGCCTAGGCCATTCCGAAGCTCGTGCAATTGCCTGCAAAAAGATACCAAGTAGGCACACTTGCTTACTCTTGATGGGCGCCTGCATTCTGACGCAGTTTTGCAAGACTTGTGTTCTGAGACTCGATATACTTGACAAAGAACATTCTATATACATTGTTACAAGTCACTTGTTCAAGGATGGACATGATTCTACTGCGAACAAGCAAGTCAATCTACCGCTCGATCAAGGGCTCAACTGACTTGCCAGTTCCCTTCCTTCGCTGCACCGAAGCCCTGGCCGCCTTTGGCCTGGGTATTTGCTGCATGTTACTACGGGGCCACGGTGCAAAAATGGGTTCCACACGCCAACCTCTTCAGTCTTTGAAGCAAGTCGGCGTTCTTTTGGCACTTGAAGATGGCGTAGCAAAGCGTCGCCAAGAAAGCGGCAGCCTGGCGCAGGCGCCACTGTCGCAGATCTTAGGCTCATCGCACTGTTTGTGTGGACCTCGGATGTTGGCAGCAAAATGGTCATATTTTCTTCGACATCCTTGACGGAAGAAACTTGTTTTGCCATACATTTTCCATGTGGTCGAGAGACCAAAGCAGAAACACCCTAGGTAGCCAAGTGGAAACTGGACGTGAGCCTCACCAAGAAAGCACTGACTAAGCTGCTGCCAGCGAGGCCTCGGGTCGTGTGTCATCAGCCCGAGAAAGTCTTCATAAATGTGATTGTATACATGTTGGGGCTAAGGCAGTCCCATTGTTGTACTGAGCTGGGACTTTCATTTGTGCTTCGGTGGTGTCTTCTTTTCCTCTTTTCAAGACACGCATTTGGGGACTGCAGCCAGCACATTGCAGGCGGCGCTACGTCATCTCTAACTTTAAATCCAAGGCCCACTGCGCAAAGATTTCTGGATTCTAGATGCAATCAATGCTTGTGTCACTTCCAAACCTACAGGATTGTGGTCTGTCTGGGCTAATTGGGGCCACACATCCATATTGAACCAATTAGGAACATCTAGGAACTGTCCTCGTGGGCTGACAACAAGCACAACATTTACTGGGAGTCACTCTTGAGTTCACAGTCAAGGTCCTGATCACAGTTCTCAATGGAGCTGGGACTCACTCCGGAAGTTTAAACTTTTCGCTCAGCCAATTCTCCTCTGCCGACTGTGGCTAATGAGCTGGTGGGACTTGCTCTTTTTGCGTTTTCTTTTATACTGCGAGTGCAGTTCTACCAGCCGAACTGCGCAGGGTGGATCAGATGTGAATGCGGAGCTAGAGCAGTGCCATCAGACGGGGTGCATTTTTAGCCCGATACTTCAGTATGAGTCAGGGAAGAAACTCAAGAATTTAATGATTTAGACGATAAACACCCACTTCCAATTGTGATGTCATCATGATGTGCCATGAGCTTTGAAGCCTCGGGCTTACACGTTCATTTGCAATTCTATATAAACTGATTCTAAACCAGATACCTACTGACACCAGCACATTGCTGTTCACACTGCGCGTTGCCTACGTCGCAATTGATTCAAATCTCATGTTGGTCGAGACGGCTAGAGCCCCAGGTACATTGAAGAGTGTAACTCAACCAATGCATGGCCGGCAACCACGGTGCGGCGGGTGGGTGGAGCTTGAGAGATTCTAAAGACATGTTAGCCAAAGAGCCCTTGGCCCAGAACACCCTTTCTCACTGACTGCAGTGGGATGAAAGAGCGGGTGCCAGGGTGAATCACAGGATTAAATCTCGCCACATCAGGCAGGACTGAGGTTTTTGATCGATGGCAGGAGAGGCTGTGGAAAGGTTCTTCTTCAGAAACCAACGGGTGGTTTGCGTTCGGCGGTAGCTGTACCATGCAAGTGCTAGGCTGTGACGCTACTGGTACCGCACTTCAAGCGTGCTCCAGTTCCCAGCAAGTCCCCATCCTTGCATGGCTCTGGGGGTTGCATCATGCTTTCATGCTTTCAACGTATCCACATGCTGAGATAGTTTTGTTTTTCTTTTCCCCAGTTCACTTGCATGTTGGGCACCAGAAACAGGCCACAGCGGCCACAACAGCCACAGCGGCCACAGCCATCCCGAAGCTGTCAACGCCGTTTGCCAATGGGGCAGTTGCTGGGCAAAAACTGCTTGGCCATGCGGGTTTGTGCGGAAAGCTTGTGAAGACGTGCAAGCTTGAATCTCACAGCCATATTTACAACCAACCTTTTCCCGAGAGCGCCTGCGAAGGGTTCTTCGTAAAAAAACATCTGCAGAACTACGTCTCATCTACATCTTCACATCTTCACCTCTGCACATCCACATTCTCACCTATATCTCGGCTCATCTTCACATCTACATTCACTACTGCACATCTACATCTCTGCACATCTTCACATCCTCACATCGACATCTCTGCTCATCTTCATCTTCACACATCTACATCTCTGCTCATGTTCACATCTGCACGTCTATATAGATCTCTGCTCATCTTCACATCCTCACATCTACATCTCACATCTTTACCTCTCATCTACATCTCACATCTTCACCTCTCGCTCTTCTTAACTTTCTCTCTTAAGGCCGAGGGCAGTGCCGCCGGGCCGCCACGAAACGCACCCTCTGCGGAGATCGTGCGTGTCGAGTGCGCGAAATGCAGGCGAGAGTGCGATTTGGTTTTGTCCGGCGCAACCCTCTGCGGAGATCGTGCGTGTCGAGTGCGCGAAATGCAGGCGAGAGTGCGATTTGTCCGGGTCGCGGGCAACCCTCTGCGGAGATCGTGCGTGTCGAGTGCGCGAAGTGCAGGCGAGAGTGCGATTTGTGGTTGTCGCGGGCAACCCTCTGCGGAGATCGTGCGTGTCGAGTGTGCGAAGTGCAGGCGAGAGTGCGATTTGTGTCTGTCCGGTGCAACCCTCTGCGGAGACCGTGCACTTTGTAGTACAACTTTAGTGCGCGGAGCAATCTGTGGAGCTGGAAGCTGAGAACTGGCGACTTTGTAGTGCAACTTTAGTGCGCGGAGATCACTGCCCCCTTAGCGTGCCTGACCCCCCCCAGGGGGGGTCAAAATTGTAAATTACAGTTTTTGACTTTACAACAATAGCCTTATATAGCCCTATAGGGGGGGGGTGAAAATTGTAAGGTCTAGGGTTGAGGTAGCCTATGTGAGGATGTTACTTTTTTTGACCCCCCCCTGAAAGAGGTCTTGGCCTACTTCTGGAGACTTTGAAAGGAGGGGGGGGGGGAATTGTAAGAATCTATGAGTGGGTACCACACAAAGCAAATTACAATTTCCCCCCCCCCGCGGTCGACGTTGTACGAGTGCTACATTTATTGAGATCATCAAGGGGATGGCATGGCATGACGGCAAGGCCTTTCGGATGAGCATCTTCAGCGTCAAAAATGTAACTTACATTTTCGACCCCTTGTCTTGTGAGATGGAGGTGAATCCAGCTGTGTGTTCAATTTTCACCGTTTTCCAAAACCCGCATTTTGACACACCCGAAATTGTAAGTTACATTTTTGACCCCCCCCCGGGGGTAAGGGGGTAGTGATGCGCGGAGTATCTGGCGAGCTGGAAGATGAGAACTGGCGACTTTGTAGTACACCTTTAGTGCGCGGAGCAATCTGTGGAGCTGGAAGCTGAGAACTGGCGACTTTGTAGTGCAACTTGAGTACGCGGAGTATCTGGGGAGCTGGAAGCAAAACAGAGGATGTGCGACGAAGATCCAGGGTACGCACCTGCTGACCTTTCAGGGCATGTCCCAGATCACGTAGCAGTCGTTCGATGCCTCTTACAACACAAAGAGACCTTATTGATAGGAACGACATGATTTATTTGATTGTTGATAATCGTCATCCTGCCGAGGTTGCGCATTGGCCTGCTTTTGCACGGTGGTGGGCCTCCCGACGTCAGCTAGTTGGGCCCCAGGGGGAAAACACGGACATTCTGTGGATTCGAGCTGAGCAAAGCAATGGCCTGCGTAATGTCCCCTATTACTGGGCAGGTGTTTTCGTGCCAGATTCCTCTTCCCCCAGAGCATTTCGGGCTTATCGACAATGATTGTGTTCCTGTTACGCTTGTTGAAATTCAAGACCTCATCTCTCTTGCAGAAAGTCAACATCAATGGATCGACCTGGTGGGGCACCCGCGGGAAGAGGACAGGAGCGATGCCAAGGTAGGAATGATTCTCTTTACAGAGGCACACCTTGAGTACAATGCCGGCCTTGTCATATCAATCGGGAGTGCGAGTAGACCCAGTCCAATAACTTTAGTACGCGGAGTATCTGGGGAGCTGGAAGATGAGAACTGGCGACTTTCTGGTACAACTTTAGTACGCGGAGTATCTGGGGAGCTGGAAGATGAGAACTGGCGACTTGTAGTACAACTTTAGTAGGCGGAGCAAGCTGTGGACCTGGAAGCTGAGAACAGGCGACTTTGCAGTACAACTTGAGTACGCGGAGTATCTGGGGAGCTGGAAGCTGAGAACTGGCGACTTTGTAGTACAACTTCAGTACGCGGAGTATCTGGGGAGCTGGAAGATGAGAACTGGCGACTTTGTAGTGCAACTTTAGTACGCGGAGTATCTGGGGAGCTGGAAGATGAGAACTGGCGACTCTGTAGTACAACTCTAGTACGCAGAGCAAGCTGTGCACCTGGAAGCTGAGAACGGCGACTTTGTAGTACAACTTTAGTACGGGGAGTATCTGGGGAGCTGGTACGCGGAGTATCTGGGGAGCTGGAAGATGAGAACTGGCGACTTTGTAGTACAACTTTAGTACGCGGAGTATCTGGGGAGCTGGAAGCTGAGAACTGGCGACTTTGTAGTACAACTCTAGTACGCGGATGAGTCATCTCTCGCGGCTGAGTCATCTCTCGCGGCTGCTCTGGCGCCCCTGCGGCTGAGTCATGTCTCCCGACCACCCGGCTAGAGGTTGACAAATTGTAGCTACTTTTCTTACTCAGAAGTGGCTGCCACAAAAGAGCCAACGTGACGTTAGTATGTGTGTACTTCACCTTCATGACAAACGATGTTCGCTTGGAATACACGAGTCGCTTGTCATGATCGTGACGTCGTTTACTCTTCGTGGAAACTTCAGTGTGAAGTGTACGTTCTTCAGTTCTATTTGAACCTCTTCAGCGTTGTACTTGCACAACTAAGGTTGACGTTGCGCTGCCGTTGCATCGACGCATCTACGTTTACACCCCCTCACCTCTCTACATTTACATCTTCACACGCTCACATCCGCAGATCTACCTCACCACATCCACACATCTGCACATCTATATCACATCTGTACATCCACACTGTCGCTCCTTCACATCTGTCCTGTCTTTCTTTCTTTCTTTCTTTCTTTCTTTCTTTCTTATCTTTCTTATCTTTTATCTCGTCTCTGTGCATTTACATCTTCGCACGCTCACATCCACAGATCGACTCTCCACCTCCATACATTCTACAGATCTATATCGCACGTGCACATCCACACTGTCACTCCTTCACATCCACCCTCTCTTTCTCTCTTTCTATACATCTTTTCGACAGTGCTGGACAAGACATGTCTCGCTCTCGGGCCAACCGTCGTCTAGTTCACATGAGGCCCACACTGCACTTGAAGGGAGGTGTTGGAGCTAATCCTGTCATTTGCCAATGTTCTGGAGGTAAGCCCTCCGGTCCAATCAATGAAGACTAACTCCGCAATGGATCGTGAAATAAACGGAGTCCTTCCCAAAACGTGGACATGCCCCCCTTCTTTGGGGCCAGAACACGGGACCGAGAAGCTACGCACGGTGGAGGCCATCGCTAGCAGGTTGGAGGCCATTACTACTAGTAGCAAGAAACTACTAGTAACAAGGTGCATCGCTACTAGGAGCAAGGATGCTACTAGGGGCTCCTGGCATCGCTACTAGGAGCAGGGACGCCACGATCGGGGCTCGGGGCCTTCCTACTTCCTACGAACGTAACAAGAACCTACGAACGTTCACATGAAGCTGTGTCCGATTCCAGGCTCCAAGCGATGGTCCAAGGAAGCCGAAAGACGACCGGTGACGGGTGGCGCATGAAAGTGTGTCAACGAAGAGTGGAAAGACCTGACATCTGTGGAAAGAGTGGGGGTTTGATTTGGATCCAGGGAGTACTAGTGAACTAGTGCCGCAGAAGCACCTTCACTGTGTTGCTGGTGATCGGAATTGGTGCGACTATGTCACTTCCAAATTGCAGTAGCGATCCTCCAATGTGGGATAGCGAGTGAACCAACTGCTTTAAAACGGAGCTTTGTTGGTTTCCACAAGCTCCGTTTTGGATCGCTGTCATCATTTTCAACAGAATGGTCAGCTGTCACCGGGTGACGGCTGCCCTGTCCGCGGTTGCCCCCCAGGATGCGACCGCCCTTGACGATCAGCCCACGGCCGCTGTCGGGAGCTGAGCCAGCAAAGTCCACGGTGAACTTCGACGGCTGTGCCAGAATGGCTCACAGTTGTTGTATCATGTTGTATCTTGATCCGACGGGTTTTGCTATAACATTATAACAGCAAACGTATGCCGGGTTGCCAGTCAGTGGCGTGGCAGAGTTCACGGCCCCCGAATTCGCTTTCGTCATTTCTGCTCAGTTTTGGCCCGTTACACCGTTACACACAGTCTCTAGTACCGCTAGTAGCTTCACTGTGCAGGTGACCCGCAGCCCGATGTTCAACCCTTCTACGATCGCCCTCTTCGGAGCGGAGCGACCTCACGTCACGGTCGCAGGTCGATGAGGGCACCCACAGCATCCACCGGTGTGATCGCGAGTGGCCTCTCCCAAAGGTGCAACGTGACGTTGGTAAAGACACATGATTGGAAGGCAAATCTATCAGGAGATCACTTCATTGCAGCAGTTCCACATATTACTAGGAGCAAGGACGCTACTAGTAGCTCCTGGCCATTACTACTAGGAACAAGAAGCTACTAGGGGCTCCTGGCCATATCAAGAGCGAGTCAACAGCCCATGAGAGACTTCATTTGGAGAGAATACATGAGTGTGACATACTGCAGCATCTGGAAAACGCCAGTGACTGAATCGCCAGAGCTGGTCCTCCCTCTCGAGGCTGGCAGCCCTCCGCGCCCCGGCGCCGGTGTCCTCGCCTGTGAGGCCTGGAGCCCTTCCTGTGAGGCGGGCTTCCCGTGTCAAAAGCATAGGACGAACACGTTAGTCTGCTGGACCTTGAAGGGTTTTGCAGCTTCAAGCCAGTCTAGGGAAGTTCAAGGACACTTGTATCTATAAACATTCTGCGCGGATTCATACACAGCAGCCCACTTATTGCTTCTGCACTGATCAACGGGTATGTAAAGCAACAAGCAAAGCGGACACATTGTCGCTCCTATTGACTTTCACACTATGTACTTTAACAATCTTTAACTTACATACGAATTTTGTGCTCGCCGCTTGTGAGACTGCAGTGACTTGGTTTCAATGCCTTGGGCGAACGTCTTGGGGTTCGAGAGATCTGCAAACTCTTGGTGAAGGAAGCTACTAGTAGCTCCTGGCATTACTAGTAACAAGAAGCTACTAGTAACAAGGTGCATCGCTACTAGTGACAAGGATGCTACGAGTATTGATGAAACTGGTGAAGATTAGCTGTCTTGGGCCAAAATGCATGGGTGGGATGGTCGGTGGTGTTGGTAGGGTCGCTTGTTGGCCAGGCCCGGAGCGGTCAGACCGGTGTGGATCCCTAGAAAGGCTACTCAAACGAGGCAGCGTGAGGATGAAGAGATTGAGCACTGAGGACTACCACCAGTTGCGTGAAAGAAGAAAGACATAGAACTTTTGGAAGACGGGAGTGTCACCCAGACCAGGACCAGTTCTTTTCTGTTTTAGACATCCAGTTTGAGCAGATGTGAACTGAATCGGCTGTTAGCAACAATGCCACAAGAAACCACATATGTAGCGGTGGGCTTAAATGAGACATGTAATTAGTATTGCGGGCAGGTTCTCAACCTTTGGCTTGTTAAAATACAAACGGATACCTTCATGAAATGTAAGATGTTTTTCACATTTTTCACCATGTTCCCTTCTCCAGAGTTGGAATCCAGAACAGAGACAGGACAAGGCATGAGACCCTGACCGTCTGGCGGCATGTCGCCACAAGTTCGAGCGTTGATCATGTCCGAATGGATGGAACATGAGCAAGCCTGGAAGCTGACTCAAGCCCCCTGGAGTCATTGACGGCACAAATTGGCGCAAAGCTTGGGAGAAACAAGTTAATCAAGCATTGCCCGACTTAAGGATGTAGCAGCTCGCAAAAGATGCATGCAGGAATGCTTGAAGTGAGCTTTTCTGAGCAGAAGACGGTCACAAAATCTAGTTGCAGGTGCAGCTGTCGGTTCGGCTGGCGAATTCAGCCCCAAGTGTTTTTTGCATTGACACGGTCCATTTTTTGTCCACGGATGTTGGACACGCTTTTGACAGAACTTTGCCGACCGTGCCGGGAAGTCTGAAGGGGTGTTTGGCCTCATTTCACCCAGTGCTCCAACCACCCACTGGCGTCCTCTTGCTCCTAGTAGCTTCTTGCTCCTAGTAGTACGGCCAGGAGCCCCTAGTAGCTTCTTGTTCCTAGTAGCGATGCCCTTTGCTCCTTCATTTCTCACGTTCTCTGAGGTGAGACCAGTGGGTGGAAGCAGCACAAGCTTGTCTGCCCCAGCTAGGGCTTGGGGGCCCAGGATTCCCACCCCAGCACACACGGATGGCATGGCGACCAACAGACTGACCAATCGAATGTTGCGGGATCTTGCGCAAGTCTAAGAGTCTAAGGTCCAGCATCGACTTCAGAGAGTCGGATGAATCATGATGCATCATGATGAATCCTCTTTGGAGTTGTCACCCGTCAACTCTGCATCAAAACTACTGAGGTTGCATCCAGCTCAGGCAAGTGAGGGGCACAGCCGGGCACCAGGTGAGGCGGAATATTGGAGCGCATCCCGAACGAAGTAGGGGAAGGTGTTCTTCTGGCTGTGGCCTATAGATGCCGGGTGCCCTCCTACCAGCTCCGCCCCGTTCGTCAAACTGAATGGGGCTCGGGCAATCATTTAGCCCAACGACATTTTGGGATATACTCACTCCCCAAAACGAACATGGACCCGGAGAATGCCAACCACTTTTTTTTGGGGGGTCCATTTTAGTGTCCATGGTGAGCCTGGGTTAGAGGTGACGGTTCCCTATTCAATAGGTGCCAGCCCAGAAACATGGTGCAAACATTGATGTTGACAAACATTGGCCATGTTGAGATTCACCTATTCTGTTTGTGGTGAACATGCCCTCGTCGTGCCTCAAACTTGGAGGACTGTGAGACTGTGAGTGGAAGTGTAACTTGATTCATCTCTCCGTTGAAGGACGACGCTTTGGAGAAATATTCAGACAAACTCAGTGGACCAAACCTCTTCCTGTGGACCTTCCCAAATACATCCGTGCTGTGCAGGTGATGCAGCTGGTTTGCAGTTGATCAACCTCTTTGCATCTTGGCGGACGGATGATGGACATCCAGAGTTGGGATCAGGGGGACGAATCAACTGGTTGGAAGGAGTGACCTCCAACCTACTAGCAATGGCCTCCAACCTAGTAGCGATGGCCTCCAACCTGGAAGCGATGGCCTCTACCCTAGAAGCGATGGCCTCCAACCTAATAGCTATATTCAGCGTTCATCTTTGACTATTGATACAGTTTGTTTGGGCCTTTGGGCTGGCTTAACTCCGTGGTGCTTCATAACACTCGGTGGCCTCCAACGTACATCTCCAACGTACATCGCAGGACTTGCGATCGCGAGCTCTTTTTCTCATCAGGGCCACCTTTTGAAGACAGCGGTGACGTTACCAAGTGATGACTCCTAAGATGTTTCAAACCCTGAGGTGGCAAAGTGGAAACTGAATGCCAGCCGCACCAGATCCATCATGATGACCTTTTTGCCCACCAGGCACGGGATCTCATTGGGACTTCACTCTTTTCTGGAAACGGGCTGTCATGGGGTCATCCTTTAGGCGACCCACCACAGTCAACTCAGAAGGGCGCCATCCGAAGGCAAGCGGAGGGGCCATGTGCCTTTGTGCGAACGAAACGCCTTGCGCGTCGCGCGTTTTCGATGTAAACGGCGTTTCTGGGCGCTCAGGTCCGTCACGGAGGTAGGCAAAGTGGCAATGGCAAACCTTCCAAGTGCAGGAATAGAAAAGGAGAGCTGGAGCACTTGCTCCTAGTAGCTTATTGTTTCTAATAGCTTCTTGTTACTACTAGTAAACTAGTAAGGCCCTTGCTCCTAGTAGCGATTCCCTTTGCTCCTAGTAGCGTCCTTGCTCCTAGCGAGCACAGGAGCAAAACACTGTGTGCATTCCAAGACCGTTCCAGGAACGCAAAGTGCAAAAGCTATGCGGATGGTCTAGTCATGTTTTGCAGTAGCAAGAAGCTACTAGGTGGAGGCCATCGCCATTAGGGTGGAGGCCATTACTACTAGTAGCAAGAAACTACTACTGTATATAGTAGCAAGAAACATGTTCTCCCGAAGGTCTCCAGGGAGTTCTGGCCCAATAGGGGCACGCCGAATCGACAAAGTCCGAGAGTGAAGCTCCAAGAATCAAGAAGAAAGCCAAGTGATTCAAAGGCAAAGAACGCACAGCAAAAGCTCCCTTCAAAGACATCAGTGGCTGCAGTCTGTCATCACGGCACTTGGGCTTGATGTTGGAATCTAGTTGGCTGAGACCAGAATCTATCATGAAGTCCGGTTCCAAAGGCGATACTTGGAGAATGCATGTGACTGCATATTTTTTCGAGCTTGGAACCTTGGACTCACAAGACTAGACGGTTTTTCTTACTGACCTGGTTACTACTATGGACCTTGTGATTTGTAAGGCCCAAAGTCTCAACCCCCATTGTTAGCCCAAGCCAGCAAGCAAATCTCATGCCTGGTTGTGGATTGGGTGCCTTTGGGTGGAATCCAGACCCTTGATCGCTTGCCTAAATAGCAACTCTGCCGGACTTTTGGCCTGGCAGGCGGCGTCACGTCATCGCCAACTTCAAACCAGAAGTGGTGTGCGTGCTTGGAACATCGGGACAAGTGACCAGCGATGCGGGGGGTGTGAATGGAGCCAGATCAAACGTTTTGACCTTTGGGTACTAATTACATCACATCTCTCATCTATCTATCCATCTATCTACAGAGGAAGGCTTTGCCTTTCTCGCCGTTGATGCCGACACTCGATCCACCCAACGGACTATGCACACAGAACATGGAGTTGATTGACTGCTTTTTAAATATATTATATTAAGAGACCTTTCTCTGGATCCCTGGACATGGGGAGTTTCCTCATGTTTCCTGTCTTCCTGATGTTACTGTCTTGGTGTGGAAGAGACTATAGTATACTATAGTAATCACCGATCCCTCATTAATCATCAGTCCAACAAATGATGCCCTATATCAGTCTAACCCGGAGGCTCAACCTGCAATTTCATGCAATTTCTGCCAGCTTTCCCAACAAGTCTGGAACACCTCTTTTCTAGGAACCAAATCATTAGTGCGTGCGCTTCTTCAGGGAAGCTCCCTCCCGCCCTGGTGCGGGGAGCTTCCTTGAAGAAATGTGAGCTATCCTGCGTCCAGTAGGTAGTAGCTTCCTATTGCTAGTAGCTTCTTGCTACTAGTAACAGTAACGATGCCATGAGCCCTAGTAGCGCCCTTGCTCCTAGTAGTAAGGCCAGGAGCCCCTAGTGGCGCCCTTGCTCCTAGT